ACCTATTCCTGTAAGGGCACAAAGTGGCAATTTTGGCTTCTGAATTTTTTGCTTCTGTGATAGAGAAGTGCTACACTGCAGGGTCAGCGCTGGCCTTGGCTGCTGGCAGGTGGGACAAACAGCAGCAAGAGGTGTCCACACTGTGTGTCCACACGGCCCCTGTGCAGCCTGCCTTACCCCTGCCTGGTCCTTTGTGCGTGGGCCAGCGAGTGCACACTGGGTGGCCGGGGAGAGAGGTCAGCCTTGCCCATGAGTTCACGTGATCTGGGTCCCAGGACACCTTTCCTTCCCAAGAGGACATGGGGTGCCCACGCCTTGGCTGGAAACACGTGGGAAGATTGTGACCACACTGAAGTTGTCATTGTGCACCTGCAGAGAGATTTGAGATCTTGTCCTCCTCCACAAACGCCCTGTGAAGGCATCGAAAGCCAAAGTACATAGTGAAGGTCAGAGCAGAAATTGATGGGGTTAGAAGTAGGTTTAAGTAATAGAAGAATTGGTGCATGGATCTATGTGCTTTCCAACACATACATATACATATACACACACATGCACACACATGCACAGATACATGCACACACATACTCTAAAACAGACAAACTTCTGGTTGATTTAAACTAGAAAAATGAATTCTAAACTAGCAAACAGGAAAGGAACATAAAAACAGACATGGAGAGGTTAACAAGTAAATAATCTAAAACTTCTGATAAAATCTGGATATTTTCTTGGAAATTATGAATAATCAAGATCATCTCAAGACAGGAAGAAGAAAATCTAAATATGTAAGGAAGATACTGAAAAATCATCAGCGTTGCCTCTTCCCATGCTTTTAGGGTCCAGTGGTTTTTCCAGTAAATTCTTTTAAATTTCAAGGGAACTCATAATACCAGTGCCCTATACATTATTCCAGAGAAGAGGAAAAGATGGAAAACTATCCCATTAATTTTTTTTTTTTTCCTTGAGACAGAGTCTCGCTTGTTGCCCAGGCTAGAGTGAGTGCCGTGGCGTCAGCCTAGCTCACAGCAACCTCAAACTCCTGGGCTCAAGCGATCCTACTGCCTCAGCCTCCCAAGTAGCTGGGACTACAGGCATGCGCCACCATGCCCGGCTAATTTTTTCTATATATATCAGTTGGCCAATTAATTTCTTTCTATTTATAGTAGAGACGGGGTCTCGCTCTTGCTCAGGCTGGTTTCGAACTCCTGACCTCGAGCAATCCACCTGCCTCGGCCTCCCAGAGTGCTAGGATTATAGGCGTGAGCCACCACGCCTGACCAGGAAAATAAATTACAATTGTATTAGATGTATGCATTTATACATTTATTCCCAAATATTTATGGAGCGCTTATTAAATGTCAGATACCACTAGCATCTAGGATTCAGTGGGGGGTAAACAGATTCATTAATTAAATCCAACTTACTTTATTTTAAAAAGTACCTTAGCAAGCTAGAAAGAGAAGGATATCTCCTTAAAATGATGAAGGACATGGGTCTAAAAAAGTAACCACATAAAATGTGACCCTGAGCCACTGCACACATTTCCACCAAGACCAGTCACAGGGGCCCGCAGTGCTGGGGCCGCTGGGCAAGGTGGCGTGAACCAACACCCGCACGCTAGGCTTGGGTGAGCGGAGAGGAAACATTACCTACTGCTTACCTTGGTAAGGCACCAAGAAAACCGAAAATTCTAGAAGTCGTGAGAACGTGGCAAGCAGTGGGGTGTTGCCACGGACGCTGAGCACACGCAATGCCTTAGGCAGCCACAGAACCAGCTCGAAAGGCGAAGCAGCGCCAGAGCATCGCTCACAAAAGGGGCAAGATGCAGACTGAGGAAAACTCCCAAAGCACTGACGTGGGACGCTCGGGGAGAGACCAGACCCTTTCTGCGAGGCCCTTTGTGCGTGGGCCAGCGAGTGCACACTGGATGGCCAGGGAGAGAGGTCAGCCTTGCCCGTGAGTTCACGTGATCTGTTCACGGGAGGTGGTTCCGTGCAGACGGAGCCTGTCTCTCCCCCCGTCTCTCCTTGGCGTGTGTGCGCTCAACATCCTGGCTTGGTTCTGGGACTCGGCAAAGCTCACCTGGCGGTAGGTGAGGACTCGAAGCCCACAGGGCCAGGCAGCTGGAGGGTCTGGGGGGGCCTGGACCCCGAGGCCCCCGGGGGTGGAGCTGGGTGGGTGCGGGTGGGGGTGGGAGTTGGAGGAGGGGCTGGGGCCCTGTGAGTGCAGCGCAGGCCCGGGGTAGGCTGAGCTCAGGATTTTTAAAGAGAAACTGGAAATTTGGATGATGGGTAAAATTCTCTGGTTTTTAAGTGTCGAGGACTAAGTTGAATTTAAAAACAAGCAAACGAACACTTTATGTGAGTCAGAAAGAACACAGGACAGGCTGCGGTTGGGTGGTGAGTGGGGTCCACTGTCGGGGCGCAGTCCGGCCGGTCTCAGCCGGGCACGGGCCGGGCAGGCTGTAGCCATCTGAGCCGTGCAAAGCGCCCTCTGATGTGTCTTCTGAATGTCCGGAATGATGGGAATGTTCCGAGGTTCACGGAGCTGACTTCGTGTGCTGCTTAGGTGCTCTCGTTTGCTCGTATGTGCTGCAGTCCTCTCCCCCTGTCCACCCACCCCAGGAATCTGTAGGCGTGTCCTTCCCCTGAGAGGTGCCCTGGGGACGCAGGTGTTAGTGGCTGTGGTGGGGGATGGGGAGGAGAGGCAGGTGTGACCAGCACACAGGGCCCAATGCTCTGGCGGAGGTACAGCGGGCGGGGGAGCCGTGGGGTGCGTCTGACTGGTCTTCTGAGCTCAGGGCAGGCTCTGCGGGGAGGTGGGGACAGTGTCATCTTCTCAGGGGTGGAGGGGCAGGGGGCTCGGGAGGTGGGGCTGGTGTGGGTGTGTGGAGCCCTGCTGGGATGGCTGCACCCCAGGCTGCAGTCAGACCTCCTCGCAGGCCTGTCCGCACACTGCCCCTTCTAGATGTGTGGCCAGGGATCATCCACAAACAGCCCGCACTCCCCATGATGTGGAGGCGGCCACGTGCGGCCACGAGCATCCACAGAATAGGAATCTGTGTCACCGCAGATTACAACATGGGTTAAGGCATATTTAGTGCTGTGAAAAATGATTCTGATATTCTGTGATCCTGCTATTTTTAAAAATCGCTAACAAATATGACCAGAGCTTTATTATCGGTGGAAAGAATGAGAAACCGTCTACACATCTGCTGCGGTTTGAAGGTGTCCCCCAAGCTCTCGTGTGGGAAGCGACCCCCACAGCGGCGGTGTTGAGAGGCGGCAGGCCCCGGGGGCGTCTCGGGTGGCGGACTTGTCCGACGGGCCCCTCTGGCCCACGCGCGGTCTTGCACTTCCGCCGCGGGCGCCGCCCCTCAGGCCTGACTTCCGGCCTCCGGAACCCTGAGGAATACGTTTCTGTTCTTTGTCAACTGCCGGCCTGTGGTGCTCTGTCACAGCAGCGGAGCAGACTAGACATGTGTGACACTGCGGAGCTTTTCAATAAATTCAGCACCACTCGCAGCTCGGGATTCTACAAAAGAAATCCAAGTCACGCTCCAGAAGGACACTTAATGCCGCAGGGAAATGCTCTCGGAGACTCCCGCAGACTCCCTTGTTTCGTGTGTTTCTCTAATCCCGAAATGGTTGATCTTCCGCACTATTTTAAACCTGACAAGCCTCCAGGACGTGTGAAAGCGGCAGAACTCCTGGGCTGTTTGGAGGAGCCGGGCGGGTTCAGCAGGGACCGGGTGGGCTGCTGTCGTGTCTCGTTCCTCGAGACTGCTTTTATTTCCGTCACATGCAGCAGCGAGTGGGAGGAAAGGGCCCTGTCTGTGGGGAAGTGGCCTTTGGAGACGGAGGCAGGGAAGGCGGCTCACGCCCTTCTCAGGAAAGGTGGGGGAGGGTCGCGCTGCTGCGAGGGAGAGGGCCCCAGGGTCCCGTGGGGGCGATGTGGAGTCTGCACCAGTGTCTGCAGGTTGTGTGCTTGCGGGGGAGACGCCACGGCTTCTGTCTGTAACTCAAAGGCACTCTGAGGCCCCCAAGACCATCAGGGGCCTCTTGGGCTGCAGGCGGGTGTGACTGTCGCCTGCTCCCATGGCTCTGAGGACAGAGCAGGAGGGAGGTGTGGACAGAGGCCCAGGCCTGGAGCTGCGGGCAGGTGCTGGTGGGGTGGGGATTGGGGCCAGAGGGGCCCTGGAGCCCCTGCCGAGTCAGGGCTGCAGGAGGAGGGGCAGGGGACGGGGCAGGACCGGGTGGGGAGGTTCTCAGCAGATCTGGGCGCATCACCTCTCCCTGAAAGCCGCCAACAAGGGCGGTCCATCCGCCGGGCACAGCCTGGTCCACGCACTTAGGGAGCTCTGCGGCCGAGGGCAGGGGCTGACTCCCGGCACTGTCCACACACGACCCGTCTCAACATCTTGTATTTCCTTCGTATGTAAAGACACGCATGCATAAATTCTGGAAAACATATTGCCACCTAATAGCTTTGGGGAACAAGTTGGGATTTAGCTGAAAAACAGGTGGGTAAGCTGCCCTAAGATCATCAGCCCCGGGAGAGCAGGTGTTTCTAGCTCGTGGTGCTCAGAGCCCAGACGTGGGGCTGGCTGACCCGGCTCCACCGTGTTGGTGCCCGAGCTGCTGGCTGACCCTGGTCCTTGGTCCACATCTGTGCAGTGGCAGAGACCAGGTGAGCTCCAAGATCCCTTCCACCGTTACAGTCTTGGGGGCACGAGTTGGGGAAAAGACCACCTTGCCTGCTCTCCTGTGGGGAAGGTGCGCTGGTGGAGTCGGTTCCCTGTGGGGCCCCCATCCGTGCTCCCGGTGGCTCTGGTTTCATGATGGGTCAAGGTTCTTTGCTCAGGACGGCGGCCCACCCTAAATGCTCACGTCTGCTCGTCCTGCCCCTGCTGGAGTTAAACTCCGAGCAAGGTTGTGTTTGGTCCCTTTCTTCCCCTGTGGCTTCGAGGTCAGCTTTGGGCACGTGGCAAATGCTCAATGACTGTGATTTTCGTGGATTGATTGACAGCTTGAATGGGTCTCGTCTGTGACCTCGACGTGGGCTGTCACCTCCCTCAGACCCAGTAGGCTTCTCTGCCTCAGGCCTCTGGGTGTCAGAAGAGTGAGGAGACCGCGGAGAATGCTGAGCTCAGACCCTCCTCTGGCTGTTTGTTCCCCAGCTGGTTCCGGGCTCGGGTGTCACATGCAGCTGGACCTGGCGTGAGTGGTGGGCTCTGACCCTGCATCCGTCCTTTCCCATGGGCATCTGGGCACAGAGCTTAGCCGGGGGCCTGGGGACATCCTTTCTTCCCTGGGTGGGATGCCCGGTGGCCTGTGCTCTATCCTTGTGCCACCTGAGTGCGACTGACTGTGCTCTTACAGGAAAACAGTGACGTCCACCTTTGACCAGCCCACGCCACGTGCCGTGCTTGTGCAGAGCGGTATGTGGTGTCACTGCCCACAGGGTGGCAACCCTTGGGCGGTCGCCTGCTCCTTGGGGTCTGCAGAGTTCACAGTCTCCCAGCTCAGGGCTGAGCTCTCTGCCCTCCGCACTGTCAGGACTGAGCCCTGCTCTCCGGCGTGGGGCGAGGGCTGGTCCTGCCAGGGTCCCTGCAGGCCCCACCCTAGGCCCCACGCAGGCCCCACCCAGGCCCCACGCAGGCCCCACCCTCTCCCCGCTGCTGCGTGGCCTGGCCCCGCCTACAGTCTCCTCCGCAGTGGCCACCAGAAGCGCCTGACGTCTGCTCCTTTGGGCAGCTCCCGATGGCCACAGCTTACTTGCTCAAATCAACACACAAACCCGTTGACTGCAGTCCTGGAGCCCAGCTGTGCTGGAGCCAGGCGCTGGCAGGGCCGAGTCCCTTCCTCGCCGCTGCCATCTTCTAGAGCCCGCCGCCTTCCGGCCCTGCCCCGCCTCCACAGGGCGTCCCGCCCGCCTCTGCGCCATCTCCTCCTCTGGCTCTGACCCTCCGTGCCCCTCTGCACGTGGGCCACCCAGAGAGGCAGGACAACCGCCCTGTGTGGCGGTCGCCTGAGGAGCAACCTCAATTCCACCTGCAGCCGTCGTTGCCTTTGGTGAAAGGTCGCGTGTTCGTAGGGCCGGGGGACTGGGATGTGAGACACGGGGGCCGTCATGTAGCAGACCACAGGCAGGAATAGCATTTGTTCACTCATTCGTCCATTCACTCTTATTTCTCCATCAAATGCCCATCCAGATCCACGGCGCGCGGGCCGTCTGCTGAGCAGTGACCCACAGGGCCGGCGAGCCTGCCCTCGCTCTGACGAGGCTGGGGGGCTTCCGACGGCAGCGAAAGGTGGGTTCGGGGAAGAAATACAGCGCAGGCAGGGGGTGAGAGGTGGCACAGGGGGCCCGGGAGGTGAGGGAGTGTGGTGTGAGCACGCCCGGGAGAAACCTCGCCTGCCTTGGGGCACCAAGAACAGCAGTGTGGCTGGAACAGGGGGCCCTTGGGGACTTCGGGAAAGGGAGACCTGGCCCAATTTGTTCTGAAAGAGCCCGGCTGCTGAGCTGAACCGGACTGTGGGGCCAGCGGGGCCGGCGGGGGCGGGAGCAGCCCTCTGCAGGACGCACGCGGCTGGACGTGGGTGGGCAGCAGAAGTGGTGAGAACAGACGGGGTTCCAAGTGCACGTTGACGCAGGGCCAGCAGCACCCTCCCCTCTGGCGTCCATCGGAGCCGGCGTGATTGGCAGTGGGGTCGCGGGTGACTCCTGTGGGTGGTTCCGGGTGCTGCAGGTACTCGCAGCAACACTCTGCGGACGCCAGACGCAGCCCAGGGCCTTCTTGGCCAGTGACATGGGAGGAGGGGACACACGTCCCTCCCAGCAGCAGCGTTGAGAGCCAGTGCACAGTGACGCCTCTGCCGGCCTGAGCCCGAGGGAAGGCAGGGACTCGGGCCGTGCGTGCCTGTTTTGGGTCATGGGGATTTGGTGGTCGCCGCAGTGGGACCCACTTGTCCTGACTGATGCAGGCGCTGGGGTTTCTGGGTCTGAGCCACGAATGGCAGGATGAGGTCGTCCGTGACTGGCACAGGTGAGACTCCAGCAGGTGAGCTGGGGGTGGGACCAGGGTTCCTGTGTGGACATGTTGGCATCAGAGTTGGGGGAGCGGCCACGCTAAGAGTTTACTCCTAGAGTCCTCAGCACGTGGACACCACCGGGGCCATGAGGCCCCCCTGGCTAACTCACAGCAGTGTTCGCTTTAGGAAGCAGGGCACTTTTTTACAGAGTTTCACATGGACTGGCTTGGGGTCCTCAGAGCAGTATGAGGAGGTACCACCCATTTCGCAGATGGTGGAATTGAGGCACAGCAAGGTTACGTGAGGTGCCCGAGGCCCCCTGGCTTGCCTGTCAAGAAGCAGGATTGAAATCCAGGCCTCCAAGCCCCTGCGCACGCCTGCTCCGCGCCTGCCCACGAGCAGCGCGGGGGAGCTGGCTGTCCCCGGCGGGCAGCAGCGAGGGCTGAGCGGGCGCTGGGGGAGGCGGGAGGCGGGGATTCCAGGCCGCCTCCACCCGGCCCCGCCTGCGCTCCGCAGCCTGTCCTGCGGGCTCCAAGGCCTTGGCCCCGTCTTCCTTCTCTGGAGCCCCCAGGGCCCGGGACAGGAGGCCCAGCTTCAGCATTGACTGTTAAATAATTACAAGGGCTTTTCCGACTTCACCGTGGGGAAAACGGAGCCACCGCAGGCCAGGGGACGAGTGGAACGTCGCCAGATGCAGGTCGGTGCGTCTTTCAGCAGCCGCGTAATAGCTGCACTCAAGCTGATTACTCCCCACGGCAATAAAGGAACAGGTGCTTCCGACCCACTTGGAAAATAATGTGAATGTTTGAGTAATGTGAACGTTCCACGCTGCCCCGGTGTAAGCAATCTGCCTGCCTTTGTCCCAGGGCGCGGGAGCCCAGCCGTGTCAACACCTGCCTCGCAGTGGGCGATGCGTGTGCGCCCACAGCCGCCGTCCTGCAGCGGGCCAGGTGCGGGGCCAGGGATCGGGCTTGGCAGCGGGCCCCCTTTCTAGCTGGGTGGGTGGGGGCTGGCCATTTTGTTCCTGCATGGCCTCGTCCCCAAAATGATGCTCCTGTCTTATAATATGCTTTGACAGTTAAGTGTGAACCTGCATTTAGAACCTGGCACATAGTAGCTGCTCGGCAAATGCGATTGGAAAGATTGGACCTACTTGCCCAAGGGGTAGGAACTGGGACTGTAGAGCCCTGGGGGAGGGAGTGTCCACCCACCTGAGCTACTGCTGGGTGGTTCATGCCCCTCCCTGCTGTCCTGCAGTGTTGACCGGTCCTTGCAGACCCACAGCCTCACAGCCCTTCCTATGGTTATATGGCTTAGCTTTTGTTACCTGGTAGTTCTGGTGATATAACCCCTTGTGGTATTAATTTGCATTTCTTAATTTGCAAAGGGGTTGAGCTAATCATGGGTAAATGTTTATTTGCTATTTGTATTTCTTCTTCTGTGTAACCCCTGTTTATGTCTTTATCTGATTTTCTATTGCATCGCTGTTATTTTCTTATTGATTTGTGAGAGCTCTTTACATATTAAGGATAGCAACCCTTTGTTTCATTATATGTGTGGCACTTAGTAAGTGGCTTGTCTTTTCACTCTCTTTTTGGTGTCTTGTTTTGCTTTCACCATAGTCACATAAATCTCTTTTGCATCAAAATGTAAATTCCTCTTCTTTTACTTGTAAATATTTCAGTACGTATTTTTTAAAATAAGGAGAATATATGCTGGATTATAATGAACAGAAGTTATTGCCTTAATGGAGCTAAATTTATCAATCATTTTGCTATGTGTAATGGTTTCTGTTGCTTGCTATGAAATCCTTACTCTGAGGTTATAAAAATGATATTCCTTTATTCTTTTTTATTTTAAAAGTTTTCCTTTCACATTAAAATCTTTACCTTGCCTAGATTTGAGTTTTTATGTCTGTTGTGAAGAGGGAGCCAGTTCTTTCTCACCCACACCATAACCATTTTCCCAGCATGGTTTACAAGGGGAACTCTGGCCCCTGGCTTTGGCCTGCAGCCACCCGGCCATGGCCATTCCTGCTGTGGCTGGCTCCCTGTGGTACTCTCCTTTCTTTCATCGGTTATATTGCCTGCCTGTCCCCACTCAAAACTGCCTACTTTTAAAATATTATAACTACATGTCAGGCTTGTGATCTAGCAAGGCAAGTCCTTCTAACTTGTTCTCTGTTCAATCACTGATTAATTTAGCAAATATTTACTGAGAACCTACTAAGTGCCTGGCCTGCTCCTCCTAGGCTATGTGCAATCCATTAGTGAATAAAACAAACAAAAATCCCTGCTCTTGTAGAGGAAGACAGACCAACAAAGTCATAATAAATAAGAAAATTACATAGGATGTTAGAAGTCATTACATTCTGCAAAGGAAAAAGTGAAGCAGGTGAGAGGGGAGGGGAGTGGCGAGGGAAGATTGCAGTTGAGGTACAACTTACATGCAGTGAAAGGTGCTCGCTTTAGGCCCAGGGTGTGGCGAGTCTGGGGAAGCGAATCACCTTTGTAGCCACCCATGGCCAACACATGGAGAATTTCCATCACCCCACCAAGCTCTGCGGCCCCGCCCTGCCCACCCCGCCCCAAGCACTGGCCTCGTGTCGCCACAGATCAGAATGGGGTTTCTGGGGTTTTATCTAGATGCGCTCACACATCGTGCTTTCGGGGTTCGCCCGGCTTCTGTGTTCGGGCAGTTCATTGCTTTTCCCGCTGGGTGGGATTCCGTCGTGTGAATATCCCACATGGGTTTGCTTACGCACCTGTGGACAGGCGTGGGCGTTGTGCCCAGTTTGGGACTGCTATGAATGAAAGCATTCACGGATGAGTCTTTGCATAGATGTGCTGGATTATGTAGGAACTTCCTAAGAAACTGTGAGACCGGTTTCCAAAGGAATCGAACTATTTCACAGCCCTACAATCTATGTCGGGAGTTCCGGTTGCTCTACACCCTGACTACTGCTTGGCATCATCAGCCTGTTAATTTCAGCCAGTCTAGATGATGCGTGGTCATATTCCAGTGTGGTCTTAATTCATAGCTCTTTGGTTACTAATCTTGCCTGGCATCACTTCAAGTGTTTATTAACCATTCATGTATTTTTTGTGAAGTTTCTGTTCAAATCTCTTGCTTATTTTAAATTTTTTTGTTTTCTTATGATTGAGTTATGTTTATTGTTGGGTTGAATTTCCTTACATATTCTGGAAGCAAGTCCTTTGTCAGATATATGTATTGCAAATATTTTTTTCATAGTCTGTGGCTTGTCTTTTCATTTTCTTAGTGGTATTTTTTAAAGATCAAAATTTTACTATTTTGATACAGCCCGATTTAATTTTGTCTTTGATGGTTTGTGTTTTATATGTCCCATCTAACCAATCTTTGCTTAACCAAAATGTCACAAAGATTTTCTCCTATGTAATCCTATATATATAATATATATGTAATATACATAATATATATACATATATATATATGAGTATTTTAATTCTTATCTTTAGAAACTACAAAGACTATACATGATTGGAATTGAGACTGTACCAAACAATGGCCAAAGAAGAATCATCCATTCTACACCTTCTCTTTGGTCTGGTCACTCAGAAATATAATGTTATCAGCTATGGTAGTTGTTGCTTGTCGCCTCACATTATTTTTATCCATGTATTCCCCATGGCCTACTTTCCCTTCCACATAAATTCGAGCCCCCTTTTTAACATACTGATATGCCACATCTCTGAGGCCTGGCCGGAACACTGATACCCTGTGCCATGTTGTCTTTTGACTGACATCACCCATTTGGCATTCTTCACCGTCCCCTGATCACCGGGTCTCATTTGTTGCTGGAGAAAATATCGTGAGTGGATTTTTTCCTTCCACCTGTCTCATGACAGGATCCTGACCCACTCACCCAAGTAACTGCACACGATTCAGGGATCTTTCAAGAACCAAACTGCTAGCTATTTCAGACTCATGTCTTACAAACTGATGAAGTACCTGCAATACAGGTCTTCGTTACATGGCTTCTCTTTTCTTAGCCTAATCTTTACACTCTCCACAGAACCACGTCCGACCCATGCAGGCGCACAAACACAACTAGAACCTTTCCTTTCTTCCTTCCTCCCTTCTCCTGACGCTGTAGCCTGACAGCCCAGCGCCAGGGGAATCACTTCCGGCGCACAGAGCCGCAAGAATCGTGAGAGGAAGGAGGAAACAGAAAGCCCACAGCGTGCGCCGTGGAAATACTGCCGGCTGGCATCACAGGAAACAAGTTGCCTTTCTACCCAAGAGTTCCGGGAGCTTCCTTTCCTATGTAATCTTCTAGAAGTTTTATAGGTTTCGGTCTTACATTTAGTTCTAATGATCCGTTTCATATTAATTTTATATATGGTGTAAGGTAGGAATTGAGGTTCATTTTTTTTCCATACAGATATTAAATTCTTCCAGCACTTTTTAAAAAGACACTATCTTTTCTACATAGAATTATTTTGGTACTTTTCTTGACAATCAATTGACCATATATACGTGGATTTATTTCTAGACTCTCTACGCTGTTCCGTACCACCAATACCGTGCTGTCTTGATTATTTCAGCTTTACAAAATGTCTTGAAATCAGGTAGAGTGAGGCTTTCAAATTTGTTTTTGTCAAAATGGTTTTAACCCATCCTGTATCTTTTCCATTTCAACATAATTTTTTATAATCAGCTTGTAAACTTCTTTATAAAAAGGTCTTGAATTACTTTACTTCTATAGATCAATTTTGAGGAAATAATTCACATCTTAATAACAATGAATCTTCCAATCTGTGAGATCAATGTATCTCTCCATTTATTTAGGTCTTCTTTAATTTCTCTCAACACTGCTTTGTAGTTCTCCATCTACAAATTCTGCACGTATTTTATTAGATTTATCCTTAAGTGCTTTTATTTCTCAATACTATTGTGAAAGGTATTTTTCAACTTCAGTTTCTAATGTTTAAGTTGCTAGTATATACAACTACAATGGATTTTTGTGTCCCATGAGTGTGCTAAGTTCATTTGCTGATTCTTGATGCATTTTTACAGCTTATTTTTTTATTGCACTGACTAGGGTCCTCAGTGAAGGTGGAACCCTTGCTTTGCTCGGAGAAAGCGCTCATTCTTTCACCATGCAGCGTGACATGATGTACAGGTTTGTCACCGGGGAGGGAGCTTCTACCTAGTCCTAGTTTGATAAGTGTTTGTAATTAATGGATGCTAGATTTTGTCCTACAAATTTGTTTTTATGCATCAATTGAGAGGATTTTGTCATTTCCCTTTTTAAGTCTGTTGCAATGGTGAGTTACACTGAATGATTTTCAATGTTGAGCTAACCTTGCATTCTTAGAATAAATCCACTTAGATATGAAGTTTTATCACATATACTTTATCATTTATACCGGAGTCCACTTGGTCATATTCTGTTAGGAATTTCTGAATCTGCGTTAATGAGGGACACCAGTCTGTAGTTTTCTTTTCTTACACTATCTCTGTCTGGTTTTGGTGCCGGGAATCATAGAATAAGTTGAGCAGTATTTCCTCTCCCGCTGTTTCCTGAAGGAGTTAGAGTGGGACTGTCATTATTTCCTTTAAAATGTTTGCACGGTGCTCTCAAGTGAGGCCAGCCGGACCTGGAGTCTTCTTTGTGGAAAGGTGTTTAGTTAGATGCAACTTCTTTAATTGATATAGTTCTATTTAAAATTTTATTTTATAGTAGTTTTAGATTACAGAGAAATTGCAAGCGTAGTGCAGAGTTTTCACCCCCCCAGCCCGTGCGTCCACTGTTGTCAGCCTCCTAGGTGGTGCGTGATGCTGTCATGATTGATGAGCCAATACCAGCACGTCACTATTGTCTACAGCCCATGTTGTATTCAGATTGTCTTAGTGTTTACCTAACGTCCTCCGCGCTTCTCCTGGAGTCCACCCGGACCCCACAGTACATTTAGTCATCACGTCTCCTTGGGCTCCTGCTGGCTGCGACGGTTTCTCAGACTTTCCTTGTCTTTGATGGCAAATACCACGGATAATTGTTGGGGCTGGGGTGGCCACGAGGTCTATACCACACAGTCCTCTTTGTATATGTTTGAAGAATTCTATGATAAAAAGTTTTTTTTTAATTTTTTAAAAAATATCATGTTTTCAATGAATATTTAGTGGACTGGAAAGTGTTAAGTGCAAAGGTAATAACAAAACCACGTGTGCAATACAGCCTGCGTGAAAGAAATGACCCCCACATGCTCGTGCAGTTTTCTCTGGGGAGTTTGGGGGCTTGTTTTCTTCATCTTACTTTTTGCTTTTCTGTACCTTACAGTACATACTGGACATAGATTGTATAATCATAAAATCATTTTGTTTTAATACATCAAACCACCTCTCCTCTTATCCGCCCGCATACCCATGCAACAGACAGATCTCTCCTGAGCCCCAGTGCCCGGCTGACAGCCGTCGCTGCCCGGAGACCCCACGCAGAAGACAGACCCAGTCTCGGGACCCCGGCTCCCAGCAGCAGCCAAGTCTCTGCACAAAGCTCAGTAAGGCTCAGTGCATTTAAATGCCTGCAGTGGAGGCTTCAGGAAACAGCTCTCCTAAGGATCTTTGAAATTATTAACGGTTTTGACAAGAGCCAACCCAGAGGCCAGCACCATGCCAGGAGGACAGCGAAAGGCCGGGGAAGGGGCTCGCCCATCAGGGAGGGAGACCAGGCGGAACGTGCAGCCCTGGGCGCGGCAGGCACAGTCTGGCGAGCCCCTCGCCCTGGGGGAGGTGGGAAACTGCCCGAGTCGCTGGCAGAAGGCAGCAAAGCTGGCCGCAGGGACTTCAGGTGACCAGCGGCTGCTCAGGGCACAGGGAGCGCTAGGGTGGGAGGGGAAGAGTCAGGGGGCACCAGGCAGCGGCCCCGACCTGGTGCAGCCCTGTCTGCTGTAGTGAGGCCAGTCAGGAGCGACAGGGCAGGTGGCGACAGGGCGGCCGCGTCCCCTCCTGGCACTGCGGTTTCCCTCTGTGAAATGGGGTTGGCGATGCCTGTCTCAGGCCTGCTGTGACGATGACAGAGGCTGCACCTGGAAAGTACTTAGCGAAGGATGCAGAGTAAGGACCCAGCGGAGACAAAGACGGGGGAGAGGAAGATGGTGAAGATACCGATGAAGGTGGCAAGGACACAGAGGGAGGAGGTGGCTGGGCAGGAGGGCACAGGATGCGGGAGGTGGCAAGGTGGCCGGCCATCTACACTAGGTTCGGGGGGGAAAGTTCTGGAAGGTACCTTGTAGGAAGTGCTGCTCCTTGAAGACTGGGCAGATGGGTTAGGGTTGAGCTGAATTTTGATTGGGTTGAGTTAAAATGAACTGAAATAAATTTGGGTTCCTGTTCTGCCCACTGTGCTGCCAGGGTTGGGCCCAGAGCGCCAGGCAGGAGGGAGCCGACAGAAGCGGCACTGCTGAGCCGGCCGCCCGCCGAGGGGCACAGCCCCAGCGTGTGCAGGATCTGTCCTGCGTGGGGACAGGTTCTGTGAGCTTACGAGCTGAACTCAGTGCAAGGCCGGTTTGGTCGTGAGAAGCAGTGAGTGCCCCGTCCGTGGGGGGATTCAAGCACACACTGACTGTGGGGAGGTTCCCACCGCACACAGTGTTTGGACTTAGTGACCACCGCGTCCTAAAGCCTCTTCCAGAACTCCTGCAGGGAGGATTAACCCTTTCAAAGGGTTCACTGGAGGAGGCTAGGCCACAGAAACAGGGGCTCGTGGACCCGGCCGGAGGGAGAGAAATGGCGCTGTGCCTCCCAAATGCTGAGTCCCCGGCACTTTTCTCCCCCAGGGAGAGGGCACGCCTGCTTGCACACGCCTCCCCCACGGAGACCCACACGCCCACACACATGCACACAGACCCTTCCACCCAAGGCAGCCACATATGGGGCCTCGCCGAGCCCACAGCACCCTGAGGTTGGGTGGGGGGTGCTGGGTCGGGGCAGACGGGAGGCTGACAGCAAACCCTCAACCCTACAGTTGCCCCAGGGCCACCTCGTCAGGACGGGCAGGGTCCTGCACAGCTGAAGGTCACTAAGCACTAGAATGTTCTCAGATTCCAAATCCGAGACTCCCGTCCCAGCACATCCACCCTGCCCACCCCAGGCCAACGCAACTCTAATTCAGTTCAGTCCAGTGAACCCTTTGAAAGGGTTAATCCTCCCTGCAGGGGTCTCTGGAGGAGGCTTTAGGACGAGGTGGTCACCAAGTCCAACCACTGTGTGCGGAGGGAACCTCCCCACAGTCGGCGTGTGCTTGAATCCCCCCACAGACGGGGCACTCACTGCTTCTCACGACCAAACTGGCCTTGCACTGGTGCTAGCTCAGCTCCTAGGCTCACAGAACCTGTCCCTGCACAGGGCGGATCCTGCACACGCCGGGACTGTGTCCCTCGGCGGGCGGCCGGCTCAGCAGTGCCGCTTCTGTCGGCTCCCTCCTGCCTGGCGCTCTGGGCCCAGCCCTGGCAGCGGAGGGCGGAGGCCTGGCTGCCGCACCCCTGCTGGGCCCGGGCGGCTGTGTCCAGTCACTTGGCTTCTCATCCAGCCGGTTTCCTCCTTGACAAACAGGGACAGAGGTGAAGATGCTGGCCAGGGGCTTGGGAGGGGCCGGGAGAGCGGGCAGGCGGGTGGGCGCAGGAGGCAGAGTGACCCCTGCGTGCGGCCTCCTGAGCCTCCAGCCCGGCCCCTCCCGTGGGCAGCTGACGAGGCTCCCTCTCCAGGCGGAGGCTGCTTTATCTCGGAGGCTCTTCAGGGCAGGGGCTCAGGAGGAGCTGGCTGTGAGGGGCTGTCTGGGAGGGGGGTCCTCGCCCCTCCCCCGTGCAGTGCAGCCCCTCCCAGCTCTGCCTGGAGCCCACTGTCTCTGCAAAAGCTGAGTGCGGCTCCAGGTTGCCATGGAGACAGGCGAGGCTCTGGCTCTTACAGCCTCGCAGCCCTGCCCCTCTGGAGCTCCTTCCACCTGGTGGGGCTCTTGGTGCCCTCCCCGTGGGGGAAGGGAAGCAACATGCATTGGCACTACTGCACATGGGCACTGGCCATGCTGGGCCCTCCTAGCTCCTTAGACTCGCACCACCTGCTGCATATTCAGACCTGCTAGGAGTCACTTATAGAAGAAGTGGCAGGCACAGAGAGGGAGAGCAACCTGCCCAAGGCCACACAGCTACCAAGGAAGGGCAGTGTCTGGCTCTGGAGCTGACTCTACCAGGCTGGACTGGGTCCCCTAGGTCATGACCCAAAGGCCTCCAAGGGGTTGGGGGCTCTGGGGTGCTTGGTGTCTGGATGTAGGAGATGTCTCCGACATCAGCATAGCCATCCCCACTGCCCTGACTGGCTGTGTAACTCTGGGTGAGCCTCCCTAGTTTGGGCCTCAGTTTCCTCATCTGAAAAGGAAGAGGTTGCCATGTGGTAGGAGAGCTCCTGTCATGATGCTCGATCCCGCTGGGCGCTGCGCTGTGCTCCTGCTGACTCCCAGGACGCCCTCCTGCGAGCACCCAGCACTCTTCTCTCTGCCTCGCATCAGGCCTGCCCCCTCTCCCTGCGGCCTCCTCCTTCCCAGGGCCCCCACACGCCAGCTCCCGGAGGGCAGAGGCTGCAGAGCAGGGGTGGGGAGCAGAGAGCCGAGGTCTCCGCCCAGGCTTCAGCATGGGCCCTGTCCCCGGTGGGGAGCAGCCCTGTCCCACCCAGCGAGGCCTGTGCCTCCATGGGGGATGACCGCCGTCTGTCCAGACGCTGTGGGACAGACATCCGGGGCGGACACCTGGGAGCGAGCGCTGGGAGACAGGAGGAGGCAGGTGGGCGTGGGGAGAAGGACGGGCTGGGGGGCGGCAGTGAGGGCGTCCCTGGGCCCAGGCTGGACCCAGGAGAGGACCTGGGGCACTGTCGCCCCATGGAAGGGAGGGTGCGGGCAGGGGCATCCAGCGAGTGGGGGAGGCGAGTGTTACTGCCAGGGAGGACGCAGAGCTCCTCCAGGCTGTGGCCTGGCACTCCCTCATGGGAGGCGGAGGCCATGCACCCACCACTTGGCTGTGTGCCTCCCCCCCCCGGCACTGCCCGGAGCCTCAGTCTGTTCCCCCAGGGCGGCACCTTGTGGCTCTCAGTTCACCACCTTCCTCTGAGTCCCTCTGAGTCCTGGCCCGAGTCCCCTCTGCCTGTGCCTGGAGGACTCCCAAACAGGGAGGAGGAGGGGGAGGAGCGCGCAGTCTGGCAGTGGTGATGCAGTGGGCCTTCCGTGCAGAGCGAGATGTCTCCAGCAGGTGAGCGGGGTGGAGGGGGCGTGCGAGGGCAGCGCTGTGCTCCCCGCCTGAAACTGCTCTAAGCACTAAAGTCTATTAATTAAAAGAGAGAGAGGAGGGGTGAGGGGACCAGGCAGGAGGGGCTGTGGCTCTGGAGGGTGGTGGCTGACCCCAGACCCCTCCCACCCAAGGCCCCTTCGGAGGTCCTGGTTCTCTGAGAGTAGCACAGGCTGCACAAGTAGCAGCAAACAGAGGTAGTAGCAAAGTGAGGGCAACTGCCTTCCGGAACATTCTGGCCAGAGCTCCAGACCTCTCAGGCCTCTAGAGGCACCCCCAGCCCCATCAGCCAGAGAAAGGAGGGGAAGTTGAGCACTTTCTGCGGCTACAAAAGGGAGGCCCTGTGGGGGCTCCAGGCAGAGTGGCCCTGCGCGGCAGGGTTAGGGTTAGGTTTCTCGTGCGGATCGGGCTGCCCGCTGGGGACAGCCCGCTGGGGACAGCCCACAGGGAAGCCTGACGCCCACACGTGAGGCTGCGCCCCTTCCTCGGGAAGCCCCGGGCCTCTCCTGCCTCCCAGACCAGGAGGGAAGGAGCCCCGCCAGGGCTGCACCGCGGCGCGCAGTTACCAAGCACAAGGCACCGATGATTTCAGGTTTCTTTAAATGCACCGAGGAACTCGGAGGAAGTGGGCTGCATTTTTCTCTAATCTGTGATTCCTTCAACTTCATTTTTTCCCCTCTTCCCTGTAATTATCCCATCGGTAGGTGAAAATAAACCTCTGCAAGGAGACAGCCTCCCAGAAGAAGGCGTCACACAGGAGCTGTGGGGGCCAGGCTGAGCGGGAAAGTGGCTTCTCACGGCCCTCTCCGGCTTCCTCCCACCTGCTGTGCTTCCTGGGACACTTGCAGGGTGACCCGCGGTCATGGTGTGCCCAGGACTGTCCTGGTTTTAGCACAGAGAGGCCCCCAGTCCCAGGCAAACAGGGATGGTTTGTCATCCTTTACACAAACTCCTAAGGGCATCTGGGCTTCCAGGACAGCCGGCTGGGACCACACGCCACAGAAGCTAGCCTCCTCCTGGGAGCCTGCCCCACACAAACGCACTCACGTGCTGTCCCTCCCTTCCCTGCAGGGCCCGGCCGCCCCAGTCTCCTTCCCATTTCTGTGCTGGGCTCGCCCTCGGAGCACCGAACATCCATTCACGAGCCCTGGGAGCCCGGAGTGTCCCAAACAGCCAGGCTGCCTGGACAGCAAGGGACTTGCACTCCCTGCTTGGATCTTCTCAGCTGCAGGGTGAGACTCACCACAAAGTGTAGCTGTGGGGTTTCTGAAAGGAGAAAGCTAGATGAATAAATGAGGTGCTTAGACACAGTGCTTGTTACCTAACAGTGTCGCTGTTTCTATCACCTCGGCACGGCAAATGCCACTGAGTTCCCGCCACCACCCAGAGGTGTGCCATCCAGGCCGTGCCTGGACCCTGCAGTTTACAGACGAGGCTCAGAGAAACGAAGGGGCCTTCCACAAAGGCCAGACCGGCCAGTGCCCGAGGCCAGGCTACCTCCAACCCGTGACCGCAAAACGGGGCGTCCCCTCCCGTGAGGAGTCTCATGTGTGGGTGGTGACGATGTGTCATCATCCTGGATTGACATTTCTGGCAAATCAAAAACCCAGCACCCAGTACAACCCCACCCTTAAGCTCCTAGAAACGCCTGCTAATAGGGCTGATTAAAGAGACCGGCGTGAGCGGGCTGGAAGCTGGGAGAGTCTGTTTTGCCGTGCAGCGGTTCCGCTGTCTGTGTGTTACTTAGCTCTTAAACAAGGAAGACTGCTGTGGGGAAAATATTAATAATTTCCCTTGTCCCAACTGGACTCCTAGTGGCTGCTCCGAGAAGGCGGGGCGGGGTCTCCTGGGGTGGAGGCTGTGCTCACACTAAACTGCCAAGCCTCCAGGGCCACTGTGCCTGCTCAGCGAGGTCTCTCTGCCTCCTTCTGGCAGCCCCCTCCCCCCCCCACCCCAGAGGCCCAGGGAGGAAGGTACAGATAAAAGGACGAAGCACACGGTCCCTCTGTGCTGCAAATGCCCAAACAACCCTGGAGCTTTCCCCCCCCCCAAAGACGGTAGCTTCAGGCTCCCCGCCGTGAGCTCTGGGGACAGTGATGTCCATAGGCCAGTCCTCCGGTGATCGCTGACCATCCTCTTTCCGCGATGTGTCCTCCACCCTAAATGCACTGCTGCTTAGGACGCCACCAATCTGCATTTCAGCCCCCCACCCCCGCACACGTCCCAAGTCCCCACCTCCAGGGCCCACCCCACTCTGCTCACTGCTCCTCTCTCCTCACCTCTCTGCTCAGACCCCTCCCTGGTACGATCTTCCCCTGCCCTCGCCCTGGCTCCTGGCACTTTGCTGAGCCAGCCGGGCCCGTGCCGGGCTACGTCCACCCGTCCTCTGCCCGAGCAGTTCCCTCCTGGCCCAGACCCCAGCGGTCCTGACACAGGCAGGTGACCTACCTCGTGTCCTGGCCTGTTTACTCTCCTGCTCTGCAAGAAAACCACTCGTGCCTCTTTCTCTCTCCCCAAACCACCGCCTGCTCCTCTGGATCCATCAGGACATTTAAAGTAGGTGACTTGAATGTGAGGGGGGAATTGAAAGGGGGCAGTCACAAAGCCATGGGCTGGGCAGGGGGACCGGGCCTGCTCAGTGTCTGGGGCAGGGGCAGAGGGGGATAGCCCCAGCCAGAGGGAAGAGCGAGGGGAGGCAGGAGGAGGGTCCTGGGGAATGGCTGCTTAGGGGGCAGCAGCCTGAGATGGGTGCTGGGGGTCGGAGACAGCCTGACCCACCCCCATCTGCCAGGGCCTCCCCTTGAGGGCAGGAGCCCCTGGTCAGCATGGGGTGGGGAAGGCTGGCAGATGTCCACTGCCGTGCCACCACCCCACCCTGCCATCTGGCCTGCACAGGCTGAGCCCACCATGGCCCAGCGCCCAGCGTGGAGCCCACTGGGCTTGCCGGTGCATTCTGCGCTCCACTGCACCCCCAGATCTCCCTCGCTTCTGGGTCCTTCTCATCCCCCAACACGCTGTTGGCACTTTCACTGTGAAGCCCTTTCTGCCCAGCCACCCACTCCGAGGCAGACACCCAGAGAGTGGAAGACGGGACTCAGCGGGCATTTGTGCACCAAATTCACGGCAGATGTGCACAGTGACCAGCGGTGGAAGCAGCACGCGTGTCCGGGGTCATCTGTGCAGTGGGACGTTCAGCCACACAAAGGAGAGAAGTCCTGGCACACGCTGCAACACGGATGAACCCTGAGGACATCACGCTCAGCGAAATAAGCCAAAAGCTCAGATGTCGTAGATCCCACTTGTAAGAACGGTGCAGAATGGGCAACTCCACAGAGACAGCAAGCAGACTGGTGGCTGCCAGGGCCCCGGGGCCAGGGCCCGGGCCCGGGAGTGGCTGCTTAATGGGTTTCCTTTCAGGTAGATGAAAATGTTTTGGAACTAGATAGAGGTGTTGGCTACATGACATTACAATGCACTAAATGTCACTGAATTGCACACTTTAAAATGGTGAAAACTATATTATGTGAATTTCTCCTCAATAAAAAACCAAAAACAGCCCTGGTCGGCGCTGGGAGCTCAGCGAGAGACAAGTTTGGGGAGCTGTGGTCAAGGGACGTCCAGTCCCCCGGGAGCCCCCTCGGGCAGCCCCACCCCCACCTGCCCTGATCCAGCCTCAGCAGCTATGTGGGGGCCATGTGAGCTCTGGAAATCTGTGCTATTTCCTTTAATTCTTGGCAACCAAAGTGAGCTGGAACAATCTTCCTGCAGGCGGGTCGAGCCGAGGCTGTGGGTAGTCCTGATGGGGGTCTGGCCAGGGTCCTGGGGTGAGGGCATCAGTGAGCTAAGCCACCCCAGACGACACAGCACTGCCCTCTCCGGCCAGGGGCTGCCCCTCCACCAGCAGAGTGGGGCCTGCATGGACGTCCTCGTAGTGCTTGTGCCTGGGCAGGGACCCCACCAGGCTAAATCCAAGGTGAGCCCGATGCTAATCGGCCTCAGTTTTGGGGAGAGCTGAACCCTCCACCAGGAAGCACAGAAAAGCCTGAAAGAAAGGTGTGGCCGGGAGCTCTTGGGGGCGGAGTGGGGGTTGGGCGTGCACCCAGCCTCACTGCTGCGTCCCTCTGTGGGCTCCCCTTTTGGCAGCTTCTGAAGACGGAGGGGCCCTCCCTGCCTGCAGGTCCCCAGGTGCCAGATCCCTGGGAAAGGGCGGGTCTGGTGAATGGCCCCAGGACTGTGGGGGCAGCAGGGCCTGTGGCCACCCCTGTCACTCCCCCGTGTCCTGTGGACACAGCAAGTTGAGGCTCCTGGGTCCCCTGGAGGCCGGGACCATGATGTGGAAGGAGGTGCCCTCAGGGCAGCATTGAAGGAAGGAGCAGGCGTCGCCGGGTTGTGCTGGATGAATCTGGAACGGGACCAACATGAGCCAGTGCTGGGGCAGCCTGAGGATGGTGAGGCCAGTGTGGTCAGATGCCCCCCGGAAGGGGACTCCCAGGGCAGCCTGTGGGGTAAAGCGGAGAGATCGACCGCCCGGGGCGTGGCTCCTACGTGGGGCAAGCTGCCCTCGCGAGCCTCATCGTGCAGGGGGCACACGCCAGGTCCCCGACGCCAGTGAAGGAGTGCACTGGGAGCCCCGTGGGAGCCCAGAAATGGTCACCCCTGTCCCCACGGGACACCAGGGACCTGCTGCCCGGTCAGCGCTTCCTCGCCAATGCCCTTCGTTCCACAGGTGGGCACCTGCTGGACCTGCTGGGGACTCGCAGATGCCAAGTCTGTCTCGGATCTGGCTGTCTGGTCCCGCACAGGAGGTGGCGGAGCTGGGATGAGCTGGGGCAGGACAGAGGGCTAAGGGGCCGGCAGAGGAAAGGAACGTAGTTGGGGGACATTTCTCTGGTCTGGAGAAGCCTCCAGGACCCTGGCCTCACACCTGCATGCAGTGACCACGCAGACTCCACCTCTGCGCGGGAGAGG